ACACTTGGTCACGCAGAGCCCATCCTGCGGAGACTCTTGGTGTCGCAGATGTCCCTGCGAGGCGCTTTGTTGACGCAGGACCTAGGCTGCGGAGAACTTGGTAATGCAGCGGTCTCCTGCAGATAACTTGTTAACGCAGCGGTCTCCTGCGGGTCTCACTTGTCATCACAGCGCCCCCTGCGAGGTAGTCTTGTTTTCGCAGCACCCCCCTGCGAGGATTGTTGTTGACGCAGACCTATCCTGCGAAGCACCTTTTTACGCTCGCGGGGCTCATGGCAGCGAGGGAGCACAGTCTTACATCGCTGGGCTCGTGGCAGCGACAGCCGTGGTCACGGAAACTCTCGAGCCCGCAGGCAAGAGAGGGACACTACGATGCATCAAAGTGTGAGGATCAAAGTGTGAGGACCGAAGTCCTGAGTTTTTTGGGCTGGGAATCCGGCCCCTTTTATAACTTTTCGGTCAAGTCTCTACCATGGAACCATTGCGCCGAGGGTAGAGAGATCACTGTCCTTTGGTTGGCGTTGAAGCAAGTCGAACGACGTTGAAACGGTGTCTGGACACCTTGTGGCCCGCAGATTCATGTTTCGACCTGGGACCATTTCTCTCAAATCTTGCGTTGAGTATGGTGAACCGCTTTCATCAACTGTTGAAAGAAAGCAACGCCGCAAAAATGTGATTCCTACATATTGTTGAGTTTGCAATTAAATCGCTCAAGCGGTGGCACCCTACATCTGCCCGTTTAGCCACGGTCACCGTCTCTTTCATGAGGGTTGATGTGCTTCAACAGATGCCAAAATAATAGGTTGGAAAATTTCTGGTTGACAGAAACGCTGGACTGTACCTGCGGTTGGCCGGAGGATCCTTTGGTCTCGCTCGAATCAATCCTGCTCATCCTTGGCCCCGCGCCGCTGAACGTTGTTTCTTCCCTGTCTACTCGTAGCCAGCTAATATTGCTTTTACTAGAATCTCTACTCCCTGGCCGCACAGATATTGACATACTCTCAGGATGAGGATTGTCCTTCTTCGGGAGGGCATAAACAAAAGCCCAGAGCTTATTGGAAAGTTTCCATAGGAAACCGAGCCTAGGACAACCATGTGAAATGTGCAACCAGGCCCACGAGCTAGGTTCGCGTGATCGCCACCCCCTCGCAAGATTGCAACGCTACTATCACATTGATGAGACTCTGGATACAAATAGCGCCCGACGGACCAATCAAACAGAATGCGCGAATTTAGACAGACGCAGGTACGGTTCTGCGATGCAGATCCCAGCGACGACCCACGGGACACTAGTTCAAGGAGGTTCTATTTATGGCCCGGAGAAGAAGTGAAGGATTTGCAAAGGTCCAGACCGATCCACAAGCCCAAACTTGACGGCCGTCAGTGACCGATCGAAAAGGACTCTGTTGCTTAGGAGGTACGGCCGAGGTACGGTCCAGGCAGGTGAGGTATTTGGAATACCACGCGGAATTCTGGCAACAGAATGGTAGGCTAAATCCCGATCCGTGGTTATGCTTTCCTGGTTCCTGTCACAGGAGAATAATTCTCCTGTCAAGTGGCAAGTTGCTCCTTGTCTATCAGGTCTGTCGAACGTTCTAGAAGCTATGTCTTCTGTCCTGCATAAAGCTTCGCGTAAGAGAATACTCTCGTTGAATCCGACACAACCCCATCATCAACCCCATTCAATAACCAGTCCGATATGTCTAGCAGAGAGCTTGTAGAAACTATGCCAATCATGGACAGAATGGGCTAACGTAAAAATATCTCCGGGTTTTGCACCAAAACCAAGAACCGATTGGCTCCTGGATATGCATTGACGCTGTGGGTCGGCCCTCCTGCGGCCCCGAACTTTATTGCAATCGCCCTCCGCATCTTCAGACTCCAGCGATAGAGAATCTTTCTAGTACCGCGCTGGTCCAATGTCCTGTACGAGCAGGTTGAGACTATGGTGATTCTATGCCAATTCTCCGGACTTCTCTTTTACGCTCTAGGACTTAATCACGAGCAGCATAGAAAGCACGTGGAGCAGGAATTTGTAGATAAGCTTTTCTCGTCGATCATTCATGACAGCCGCATTCTCTCACCGTGTGACCGTTTCCATGGTTCATCGAAATTCTATTTCAGGGTTCAGCGATTGATCCACGATCCCGGTCATGTTCCACGGTCTTTGGGATAACATTTCTCAAACCATGGCCTTGTAACTTTCTCGGTATTGTTGTAATTCCAGAGAATGATGCTTGTTTATATTTTGAAAGTAGCTGAATTCATACATACAATCACTGAGATATTCATCATGCTGCGTCTTGATTGTTCAGCTGCCACATCCTCCGTTTGTAGCATCATCCAACAACACTAATTCATCGAGATAGTTACTATGGTTGCTTGGCGATCACAATGTAGCGCGCATGCCAGCGAACTGCTGATAGCATGGACGTTCCGCGCATCGGTATCTCATCTTCCTGGCTGCAGAGATACGATGTACGTAGTGCCAAATCTGCGATGACGATCGCGTTTCTTTACGCCGTGACGGAGGGAGTAATGACATCGCGCGGCCTGTGATTGATGATCAGCTTGTAACAAACGTTGGAAGAAGGTCAGCTCATACCTCGTCTCCAGCCTTCCCTCTTGGTTGATTCACTGCTGTCGATATGGCTAGGCTCGGCTGTTAAGATTGTTTGAAACCACTTTTCAATGTTGCTTTGCGCAGGCCTTTTATTTGGGAGGGTTGCCAATGAACCCCTGCGGCCAACCGAGCGACGAACAGTTCCTGCTCGGTTTCGATTGCCTGAATGCTTAGGCGATCTGGCACCAGAGCGACGTTGCTTGCGCAAGATATGGTACATTTTCCCTCGTAGAGACTCAACGCTTCGGTCCACCTGATATTGTTCATAATATGCGTCGGAGCGGGCTTTCCACGACAGCGCCCGATGGGCATCCAGCCAGGAGAGAAGGTTCTTCTCCTCCCAGTCCGACCAGGCTACCTCGCTTCGAGGAGGCATAGCGCTCGCATGAACTAACAGGAACCAGAGAGACCTTTTGAGCAATGGCACGACTTGAACTCCGCATGGATGGGAAAGGTGAGCCTTAATCCCCTCCAGGTCCCAGTAAAAGCTGAGATAGTATCCTTGGTTCATCTGAAATTTTCTGAAGGCATGTGGCATGATCATGGACCACTCTGGACAGTCGCTTCGGTCAGTCTGAGTTGTACTCTATCGACTCCGTATTTCAGAATCCCCCGGACTCCCAGCGCCCGAACACAATCATAGTTACAAGAACGACCACCCTTCAGTTTAGTACTTGTCAATATCTCGAACACAATGACTGTCTGTGGAAATGAAAAAAGTAATGAGTTCTTAAACCGAGCCCCACCGGGTATTAAGGTAACATGAAACAGACTTCAGAGGCAAAAACTTTGCCTTCTGACGAAGTCCCTTCCTCTAAAGTTGAATGACTTTCGTGCCTGATTGGCTAAAATGTATTCCAAATTAAGCGACGATTGCGGTACGTACTGATGGAAAATAGTGCGCCTTGCAAACCCTATCGCAAACTCCGGTTTGGAGAGCAAATTCTTCATAAAAGCCTCAGCGACTTCTCCTATAACATCCGACTCGAAAACTCGTTATCTCACCCTGACACAGATTCAGCTATGGGTGGAATTCGAAAACTTCCGTTTACTGATCAACGACAAAGCTTTCGGAGCCGTTTACAACGTGCACTGTCCCTGTCATCCTCCGGATCTGAGGATATCTGGATTCCGCCCAGATCCACGGCGGGGGATACTACGGAGGACGAGTGTTCTCAGGAGGACGACTCTTTTGGCAACGACCGCAATGGAATCACAGTGGATGATGGCCAGGAAAGTCCTCTGCACACCTGCAGTACGGGCCCGAGACCAGACGAAGAACTGGAACAACCCGGACAGGATCTCTCCGAGAACTGCAATATGATCGCCTTCCAATGTCTGGCAGAGTGAGTGTCAATCCGCTCCCTTGGAATGGTGTTTTGTGATATGCTGACTTACAACGCTTAGACTAGATGTCCGAACAAAGTCAGTCGTGCGACCCATCAGAGAAAGAACATAGGCTGATTATTTTGCAGGTCCATGCAGAAGTCATTGAATAACCAGAACAGCTGGATTGGAAATATTCGCAGTGATCTGGAGGAAATCCGCAGTCGGTTGGCTGTCGTGGAGACGGCTATTGAAATGAGGGCCAAAAGGGGGAGAACAATGCTACTGAGGGTGATACATCTAGACGATCGCTTCGGTCGCAGCAGTGATTCAGACCGGAAATATGATGAAATTAAGTCTATAACAGAAATCAGTGACCAACATTGTATGGGTTTCCTAACGGTAATCTTAAACTCTCTCTAACTAAAAACTATGAACTTGACAATTTTGTAGGATATGCTGACAAAGACTAATATGCACTTTTATGTGAGGTGTCAGATTTGATGTCGTAAGATATTCTGGGTAAATACCCAGAAATCCACACGCAGATCCACCATATTTCTGACAGTCTATAGTCTAGAGCCGGATGTCAGCCCCTAACTGAGGTATTCTTATTACGTTGCGCTATGCGAACAATTATATTTCACCTTTGCAGACTCTCGCTTGAAGCTATATATAACCGCAGCGCTGCGGGGCAGGAGATAAAGCGTCGATAGAAACATATAGACGAGATGAACGACCGGGCGATCACGGCCCACTTGGACTGTGGGCCCCCATATTCAGCGGCCATGGAGCATTCCCTCTGCCGTCCAATTGGCAGAGCAAAAGTCCGATCGTCCCAGTATATTTTTACGTGAAGTTTTTTCTACTATAGTGGAAGATAAACCAATGCATATATCTGGTTCATATTTTACTGTCATTCTTACTGTTATCCTGGGATGACGGTGGTGCCGCTATCATTATGCCTTGAGCTATCTATCTGTGTGATGGTTATATCGAATTGCGGTGCCGCCACAGCCAAAGCTGTTCCTAGCTCTGAATCTGTCATGCTTCACACAAGTGATTCATACTGGTTGGCTGGGGTTGCCGCCGGCTGAGTAACAAGCGGGTAATAGTTACTCGATCCGGAGAACCCGGGTAGGGCATTCTGACCCAAATTCCCACAAAGACCGTCCTGCTCAGGCCAAGCTCCGTGAATTACTTCACAGCCGGGAAGGCAGGATGTCGGTCTACGATTCTGAAGGGCGTCAATCGTGTTCCAGAGCCGAGTGGTCGCCGACACCAGCTCACAGTGCGTCTGATGCAAGGCCGGCTGAATATCGTTCCTTGAGATCTGATCCTGCGTGGCGGCGTCAAGTGACTCATGCTGCTGCTTGATATGGCAGAGTTCTCTTTCAAGCCTCTGGTTTTCTTCCAAGGCTTTGTCTTTTGCTGCGAGAGCTTGCTGTAGTTTCGAAGACTCTTCGGCCTTTTCCGCTTGTAGACGCTGCATCGACTGAGATTGAAGGGATATTTCATGGTCCATTTTCCCAAGAGCTAGTTCAAACTCTTCTTGAATCTGGTCCATCACATCCAAACATTGTCGATGTGTCGCCTCATGCTCTTGCCTCCGGGCGGTTTTCGTCATAGAATGTCCCTGGAAACGCTCGTCAGCCAAGAGTACATTATCCAGGGAGGACCGCATAATGTCTGTCGGTACAGAAAGATACGAATAACCGAAGACAAGATAGGGAATGACATACCAGGTCTTTGTGTAGCTTCGCTACAAGGCTCTGAGGATTGCGGTCCGCCTTGGACGTAGAAACTGTCGACCGAACAGAACCAGGCGAACCAGCACGCGATCTGCTAGTACGAGACTTTGTTTTGGTAGCACCACGTCCCGCACTCCGAGAGGGCTTGGGTGCATTTGCCATACTGAACCTTTCCGGTCGAGAGATTGTTGTTGGTTCCAGTGGATTGCGGGTAAACTGATGAGTAGGATGAATCGCAGTAGCCTCCTGGGTAACAAAGACTTTAAAGGGCTAGGTGGAGGCCAAACGAAAAGACCTGAAACGGAGGTGGAAACGCTGTTCCCTTGCCAAGTCTTTTTTGCTAGCATGTGGTCCATGAGCAGAGAACCTCTAGCAAATTCTGCACACCGGACCCCACGGGGTGCTAGCGCGAAGTAGAAAAAAGAACCAAAAAAAAAAAAGCCTGCCGGTCCACTGTGGACGAAGTGATCGGCCGGCCCGCACTAAGTCCATGCAATCAGTGGTGTCTCACGACACGCTACATTTGAATTTTCCCCGTCGCTCTTTCACCCAAGGAGGACTCTTTGCACTTAGATATAATGTACTTAATATCTCTTGTCCAACTCTACATGTTCGGCGCCATCCTGTTAATAACAACAATCCTCCCTGACTCGGTCCTCATTAATGAATGCAGTTATAGCGGAGACAAGACCTAAATTCTAAGCAGTTCCACTGTCGCCAGAATCAAGGCCTGGTTTCCAGGACAACAATATGAGCCATTTCAGCTACCATGGCTCCCGATTTGGTCCCTTGTCAATCGCCACCCCGCTCACGAGATTGCAACGCTATTATCACACTCCTGATGGGACCGTGAACACAAATAGCACCAGCTGGACCAATCAAATCACGAGCATGAATATGGACGGAGGCTGGTACAGCTCTGCAGTGAAAATCCCAGTTATGAACCATGGGACAGTAGATCAAGGAGGTTCTGTTGTGGCACTCAGAAGAAATTGGAAGGGCTTGCAAAATTCTAGACACAATCTGCAGGTGGAATGGCTTTGTTGCTTAGGATGTAACTTCTGGGCAGGCGAGGTAATTGCATATCATGCAGTCTTTCCAGAACAGAGTGATATGCCAACAAGATGCGTGGTCATTTGTTTCTAGAACCCTTCGGTCTTCCGTCACTTCTGCTTCTTCATCTTTGAGCTGTAGAACGTTCTAGAAGCTGTGTATTTCACTCTGCATCACCATTTGCAGATAAGCATACTACCTCCCTATCCGATATTTCCTCCCTAGTCCGGCTTTTGTACTAAAAGCCGAGAAACCGATTGGCCTTTGGAAATGAAAGGAGTCAGCGTGGAGCACCTGAACTTCTATGAACTGGAAATATTTTCTTAGCATCTTTCCCCAACATTGTTAATACTCAGGACCGCGCGACCAATAATGTTCATAAACACCATCGTAGCCATTTCATCACATACTCTATGTCAAAAGCCGAAATCGTGATGAGTGCGGTCCATTTCCTCCAGTAAATCAGTTACACTGTAGCGGCAGCCGTAAGCATGATAGACCTAAAAGTAAGTGGAGAAGCGGACGGGAGATCTAGATCGGAGCTTAAAACCTAATTGCCATGGATCATCGCCGTCTTCCACCAAACACGCGGTTCCGTGATCCATAGAAAAATAATTTGTCACGATAGTTTGACATTTGGCCACCGACCGTGGATCCTGCTCTGCGTTCCACGGTTGTTATGATAGTAACCATTGATATGACTTGGATGGAAAGGAACCTTTGTTCCAGTTAAGTGATAGCATGCCATTAGTAGACTGGAAAAAAAGCCCTCCCACCAACATGACTGGGCTGGGATTGAGGTTCAATCATATGCTTTGTAGCTCTACGGTATAGTTAACTCTGTTGCGACCCACCCAACGCATCCAAGGCTAGAATCCTAGTTGACAAGTGTTCTAAGAACTTTGGAACTTAGATAGCTATTGTGTCATGATTTCATATTTCAATATGAGCACGCTCACATCCTGGTTCAATGGAATAACCCTTAAAACCCGCTACTGATCCCATCCATCAATTCAAACAAAAGAGACATCTTAGTACTCGTGACAATCATATCAGACCATGGATACAGTCATCACCAGCCTCCCCCCAATGTGAGCGCCATTCTTATGGATAATATATCCATCATTCAAATTGTATCCATGTTCTCGATCGGCGCGTACAATGCCGTTGAGACGGGGATCGTCACATTTGATACGTTCAAACACTACCGCAGCCTATATTTCTGGAGCATGCAATTCGCATCCTGGGGCATCCTTGTGCACGCCATTCCTGCCATGGCACGATTCTTGTCTCAGTCATCCAATCTCGCGACATCCATTCCCTTCATAGTTGGATGGTACGCTATGGTTACCGGCCAAGCCCTCGTCCTCTACTCGCGCCTGCATCTCGTTTTCGCCGATGTGAGAAAGGTGCGTTGGGTCTTGTGGATGATACTCACGAACTTTTGCATCCTACATATTCCAATGACCGTCTTATTCTTTGGCCTCAACAACGGCAACGCACGCTTTGCTCAACCTGCCGCGATATTCGACCGAATCCAATTGACGGGCTTCTGCATCCAAGATTTCGTTATTTGCGGCATTTACATATACGAAGCAGTTCGTGCTTTCAGACTTATCAGCGCGTTCCGAGGTCGTGAGAGCCGCAACGCCATCATCCATCTAATTTGCATCAATATCATCGTGGTATTCGTGAATATTCTCCTCCTGGTGGCGGAATACAAACTACACTACATTCAAGTGAGCTTCAAGACGGTGGTGTACAGCGTCAAGCTGAAGTTGGAGTTTTCTGTGCTCAACCGTCTCTGCTCGGTGGCCGTCCCCTGCACCTGCCAGAGTGGATCCAGGGAGCAGCGCCGATCATGTGATCTGAATCACTTTGATCGAAACCTTCCACGGTCATCTGCGGAACCAGAGAGGACAATGCAATCTGCGTCGACTTATGAAAAGATACAGCGTCGTTTCAAATTGCCAAACTTGGTCGATAGGTACCACGGGGCGAAGAGCTATTTGTCCGGCAAGAGGATCATTCCCTCCAAAGACAGTTCGTACTCAGAAACATTCCCCGAGAGCCATTCAAGTACCAGTACGACTGAATCATCGGAATCTCTGCCGGCACTGGAACTACGTCTATCTGAATTCTCGCCCAAATTCGATGTCTAAGCATCCTGCCAAGGATGCGGGCTGGGTCTCGTGGAACTTGCTAAGGACTGAGCAGCGTGCTGCGGACTGGTGGTGGACGTGGATGATCAGGAATAACCGTGCTAGCTAGCTAGCGACAGCTCGGCTGTGACGCTTGATTTGGAGTCTTTCCAGACGATGTAACTGGTGAATATTTTGGAGGCAACGTGACTCTGCGCTTGCTAGGTGAAATGTGGTCGATATCAATATGTCGGAGCGATAGGCCAGTGAGAGACATGGAGAACGGGATGAAATGAAAAAGTAATATACAAGACTCTGAAAAAGTGGAGACAGGAAATTAGAAACAATAATTGTTCTCTTCACACCCAGTTTTGGCCTCAAACGATATTTGGCATTATCCTTCCGGTTCAGCCGACCGGATATAGCCTGGCCGAGCTGCCCGGCTATGGCCATGTAATGCTATTCTGTCTACTAGTGCATGGGCACTAGATCAAATGAAGAGCATTCTTATATGGTAGGTGAGAGGCAAATGCGAAATACTAAAGGGTACTCATTGTTACAGCTTTTATTATGTGAGACGGCGAACTTATTGCACGTCCTTTCGTCAACCTGTACTTTCATATCACGCAATCCATGGACCAACTCTATCGTACATTGCTATACCACATCTACATGGAACTTCAAAACCTGGCCAAGGCAGCAATAACGCGGTTGCTTGGAGAAACCTGTGCTTATTTGGGATGTACCCCAGACAGTCCCTTTTTCGAAGTGAAGCCATAGTGCAAGAGAAATCCGTGGGAGATCAACCGTTTCTCATAGCAAATAGAAAGAATCAAACAAAAGAAACATTTCGGGAAAAATCATAGTTGCAAGATGGTCGACTGAGAATTCGCGAGGTATCCTGACGAAGAACATTCAAATTGAAGGTGAAATTTATTGATAACATGACAAAGTCTCACGATTTGGACTCTGGGCCATCTAGAACCTTCAGGATTGGTGTAGGGTGATACGATATCTTAAGATCGAGTTAATCTTCATAGCGACAACATCGATGATAAAGAGGAACTTACTAACTGGTTGTCAGAGAGAGGCCAATTTGTTGAGTTTGACGTCAGAACATACATCTTCCCAGATTTCTTCATGCGAAGAATGAGATGAATGTCGGCATCGCATTCCGTGGTGTACTCAGAGACTTTTTTGAAAAGCGTGTTTCTTCGCCTGCGCGCTTTTTGATTAACCGCGTCTGTTGGGTTTGATTTCGGTTTTGGTTGAGTGGCCATAATTGGGGTTATCGTTTTTACCGAGAGCAGTGTTGAGTCGAGGAAAAATCAGACCGACATCCGATTTTCGAGTTTTGTAGTAGTGACTTGGAAGATCAATGGGGTCGCATAGCAGCTCTGCATTCTTAAGGGAACGTAGGGCAAGAACAGTAGATTAGTAGCTTTGTTCTTGTCGCAGAAAGCCATTTCTATCCGCTTCGTCGTTGATCTCATGCCACACCATGCAAGGAACGGTGAATCATCGCAACCAAGTTGATCGAGGTCTTCCACTTCGTTTCTGTCAACTTCAAGGTTTTTATCGGTTCACCACTTCGCTCATTTAAACAATGCAATCAAACAGGCCCGAGGCAAATTACGCATCGTGAAGTTCTGCAGCATCATTATGAGCAGGAAGAACAACGGAATTAAGCTGACCGGTACTTTTGTGATGACAAAAATCCTAAGCGGTCTTAACAGTTCAAGTAACTTTCGATTTCAAATGCACATTGGCGATAAGGAAAGAAGTATTCCACTCCATTGGCCGTTAGCTGTCCGAACCTCAGCCCGGAATTGCGCCTTGGTCTGGGCTTGATTTAACCGTGTCGGCAATTGTGAGATGTACGTAAAATGCGCGCCCTTTACAAGTGAATGAGTCGCCATCAAAGTCGTCCGAGGACACGCCTATAGAGTTGCTTGCATTTTCTGCTGT